ATTCTTTAATAAGTTAATATTAAATAATTTAAATTTATTTATAATAAAGGGCAACCCTCTTAAAATCCATCCAATTTATTCTAGGTGTTCAAACTAAAAATTTCTAGACACTATTTCGTTTGACACCCATATTTCCTCTAACCTGTGTAATAGTTAACTAAATTCGACTTTTCAAACAGGTGGCCACCCTCTTCAAAATATTTTCAAAACTAAACCTTCTTAAACTTCTTCGTCTGACACCCATATTGAACATACTTCAGAAATAAAGCCTTTTCAAACCCGTTTCGATTGATAGCCATCTTTTAATAATTGATCCAACTTATTGACTAATTTAAATGAAACTTTTTAAACACGTGGCAACCCTCTTAGAACATTTCAAATGTTCAAACTAAAGATTTTTTAACACTCTTTCATTTGACTCCCGTACTTTATATTTCATGTAATCATTGTATTAGTTATTTAAATTACACCTTTCAAACAGGTGACCGCCCTCTTCAAAGGTAATTTCAAGCTAACCCTTGTTAGCTCTCCTTCGTTTGACATCGCGATATATATTTTAATTAACTTATGAATTAAGTTGAATTTGATTTTTTAAGCATGTGGCAACCCCGCTAAATATATTTCAGAAATAAAGATTTGTCAAACGCCTATTCGATTGATACCCATATTTTAATAATTTAACTTATTAATATTATATGTAACTTATTAAATAATTTTAATCTAACTTTTTAAACAGGTGGTAATCCTTTTTTAACACCTCAAACCTTATGTTCAAACTAAAGATTCCTTAACACTTGTAAAATTTGGTTTGGAGACAAACCGACCAATGAGAACGAAAAATGACATTTGTCATTGGTTTGTCTCCAAACCAAATTTGACCGGGATGACGGAAAATCGTTCCACATTACATCGCAGTCTTAGGCTATCTGCACACTTGTCGTCCAATCATAGTTGCGTTATCGTCTCGCCCTGAAATTTTGAGCCGAGCACATGCATTTCAAAGGAGATCTGCACACTTGTCGTTATCGGCTAGTTATCGGCAAATCGTAGAAGATGCAGAAACGGATAAGTACGGCACTGTCGTTTGCTAATCGTTGTGCACGCATTGTTTGTTTACATTTTATGGGGAAAAATTAGTGACCCAGTTAATATTTGCATTAAAATTGCATAAAAATTACTATTTTTTTGCATAAAATCTGTGGAAATTATTAAAAAGTGGATAACTATATTAAAATTCAATAAATATGAGCGTTTTAACTATAAAATATGACGAAATTGTAAAAAGTCTCTGTGTGCATGCACAAAACACATTTCAGCAAAAGAAAAGAAGAGATATTACTGAAAATGATGTCTAGAATTTTTGCTGCACAGGCTATATTTTTAAAATTGCTGGTTTTTTAAATATTTCGTGAAAATATCAACCAGAAGNTCTAGAATTGTTGCAGCACAGTCTATATTTTAAAAATTGCAGGTTTTTGTAAATATTTCGCGAAAATATCAACCAGAAAAACAGAAAATACCTGCTCCAAGTGAATTTTTAGACGCCAAATGAACTGAAATATCACGACCGAGTGTGCGAAAGTGTAGTCGTCATGTAATCGTTGCATCATGATTGTGACGATGAAACAACTATGATTGGACGACCAATGTGCAGAAAGCCTTATCCTGTCGGAAACACAAACAACGCAAATGAGAATTCCTTAACACTCTTTCGTTTAACATCCATACTATTTTGATATTTCACGTAAGTTGTATGTAAGTTAACTAAATTCGACATTTCAAACAGGTGGCAACCCTCTTCAAAATATTTTCAAACTACTACCTTCAAAATATTTTCAAACTACGAACTTGATATCCATATGGTGAACATATTCAAGGTGGGCAAAAACTCGGAGTTCGAGCGAGCGAGCGAGCAAACTCCTACTCAATGCCTCGCAGACAAGGGGGCGCTCGCAGCTCGTACTCGTAGCAGCAATGAGGCGAGGCATGAGAAGTTTGGCTCGCTCGCCAAACGAGCGAGTGCTGCTTGTTTGCTCGCGCTCCTATAAAACGAGCGAGGCTGTTGTGTGTTGCCTCGCTCGCAGTGCGAGGCGAGTAGCTGTCTGCATACTCACTCTGCTAGGAAAGACGAGTGAGCGACGAGCGAGCACTCCGAGTGTACTATACAACACATGCATTTTTGTGCATAAAAATGTGGGAATGTATGTCAATAGATTATGTACGAAAGTATGTTAATAATTGTATGTGCATATGCATATATATATATATGTAAAGTATTATATTAGGGCAGCATTTAAAACAACAAATAAAATTTATTACATACATAAGCATAGATTATGGAATTAATTATTTTTTAGTTATATTCATACATGTGTACACACATAACATGCATTTTTATATATGTTTGTATGTACGTATTTATGTATATATGCATTTATGTATGTATGTACATATGCATGTATTTTGTATTTACATAGAAAAGTAAATAACGAAGATATTATAATCGTTTGTGCCGCAGAAACAAAAACAAGTAAGCACTTGTTAACACCCCCAAAATAGTTTGCTACTTGTAGCAGTTATGCCGTATACCTGAATAAAATATAGTCCTTGGTGAAAAAATTTATTTGTGGCCTGTTCTTCAAGGACATATGTACATATGTATGCATGTATATATGGATATGTAGACATGGGAAAATTTGCGTAAGCAAAGAATAGAGACCGGTTCGCATACAACTTTGGCGTTGCGTTGGCGTCGAATTTCAAAGCAGCCGTCCACATATCCAAAATTTGGCAACGCTAAGGCCAACACAAAGCAGAAAGATCGCTGCGTCGGTCGCCAGCTGTTGCAAATAAATAAAATTAAATGAAATGTTTTTTCCTTTTAATCAAATGAAGGCAAGAAATATAATTTTTCATGCAATTATTGATATGAAATATTAATTTATCTCTCGTTAATATGTTAATTTAGTGGCCAAAGTAGTCTCTGCCAAGCTTCATTGTAGAACGCATACTTTTAACTTGCGTTCTGTCAAACCAACGCCAACTACAAAGTCAACGCGAAAGTTCTATGTGGACCAGCCTTAATTATCAAATAGTAGTTTGTATTATCCTACATACATACATATGTATGGGGGCTAAACCAGGAACATTCATTTGAAAATGCTGATGTCATACTCATTTATGAAATGAAAGACAAAATAATGATTTTTATAAATATTATATTCTCATTTATACATATGTAACATATGTAGTTACTTAGTCAAATTACTTAGTAATTACTTGTATGTAAGAATACAAAGACAAATTATTTATCAGAAGCATTGCCCCTTACATATTGAAAAAAAGTAATAAAAGCTCTCAAAAAATCAAAATCGCTACTACGAAAAAAGTGTTTGAAAAACCACACAAATTCAAATCCGGATAAAAAAGAACCGCATAAAAAGAGACCTAAGTGTATAAGTTGAAATTTTATAAGAAATTACTGAACATTAAAAACATTATACCTACATAGATATGTATGCACATATGTGCCTACCTAGTAGATAAAACTGGCCAAAATAGCACGGATCTATTCTTCTGTTCATGAGAATATATACATAATTATATACAAACATATGTGTATATATATATGTATGTACATATATACATATCTGCATGCGTGCATACAATCCTTTACTCGAAATTCTTAGTTGCTGCAATTTTTATCCCATACATTTTTGCCGACCAAACAACGCGTTTGTCTGTCTAATCTGCTTGCCTCATTTGCCGCGCTCGTTTACTCGCCTCGCTCGTCTGCTGCTGCAAATGAGTGCCTCGCTCGCAACGACGCCCTCGCGAGGCCAGAGCTAATAAGGCCCTCGTTTGCTTGTCGCTCTACTCTTGCGCTGTCCTCGTTTGCTTACTCGCTCGCTGGCTGCTCAGCGCGTGCGCTCGTACTTAACGAGTGCTTGTTTGCAAACAGCCTCGCTTGTTGCTCGTGAGTTGCGCTAGCTCAGAGCAAACTAACGAGCGAGCGAGGGGCTAAAATGAGGCAAATCCGAACCCTGAACATATTTCTCATACCTAATTCCCTTAATTTAAATTGAATTTGATATTTTAAACAGGTGGCGACCGTCCTATGCTTAAGTTAAGAAACAAAGCTTTTCAAAACTATTTCGATTGATACCGATTTTGAAATAATTGATTTATTTTTACTTAATACTTTAAATATAATTTTTTAAAAGTTGAGAACTCTTTAAAAAAAATAAAACCTTATTTCACATCTGCAGTCCAAACCTTTTAATTTGACACCTCATTTTGGAAAATCGAAAGAACGGTGCGCATATGATGGCATTAATTATAAAATAATTTGCATTGGACTGTTCAACAGGTGGCAACTCTTTTCGAAAAAATAAAACCAGTTTGCACATCTACAGGCCAAGTGCTTTAATTTGACACCTCATTTTTGAAAATCGAGCGAACGGTGAAGGTCTTATATCCTGGACAAAAAATTCCTTCGCGTATTATATATGAGCCGTTCAGTGCACAAATTGATTAAATCCATCAACAAAATGTTGGGAGATGCGATCAAATAATGTAAATTATTTTTTAAAATTCCATTTATATTATAAAATCAAATAAATAATGTTGTTATAAATATTATATACTATTGTATGTTATATATAGTTATTATAAACGTAATAGCTTATGACTATACCAAGTGCTTTGACACTTAAACTTAAGATTTTTCAAAAAGTGGAGTTAAGCAATGTGTGCACTGAACGGCTCATATGTATATAGATATTTTGGCGTACATTTTTACTACAATTATTTATCCGTCATTTACAAAAGCTGTTGCAGTTGAAAAATAGAATTTTTCGGGAGACACGTTTAAATTTTTCAATCACTCTCAAAAGTACAGACAATAATTACATAATTAAAAATCTTTATAAATAGTGTAAACGTATTCTTATTTTAAATTTTCGTAATTAAGTACATACATATATATTTGTCTTTTTTAGAGATGTACAAGGCGTGGGACGTGGAGGTGTGCCCATTGCTGGTACGGCCGGATATTGTGTTGGTTGTTTAAACATTCCAGGTATGGATATTTAGGTGCTAATATTGGTTTTATTAAATTAGTATTTTAGAATCTCATTACTACGACTTTACTGCCGTACTGAATTAAAATGTGGGTATCGGCATTCGAAGTCAAACCGAGAAATAAAACAAAACGCGTTCGTACTTGGCCCGTCCAATGTAAATTTGTAAATGAAAACAATTGTTTTAGACTAATTCGGATGTCCGCTTTTTATTTATGCAAAAAAAAACATGAAATTTTTATTGCATGTATGCGAAACTGTAGATACGTCTTTCTCTCGAACGTAAAACTTGCGAGAAAACTTTTTAAAATGCCGTATCTGCGCAGATACGGCCTTTTTAGCAGTATTAAAGCGCTGAGAGCTCGGAGTTTACTGGTGAAGAATGTGGGGATCAACAAATTTGTAGTGTTTCTCCATCGTATTAATTCTAAAAGTCGGTTTCAATTAATTTGTTGGTTTCGATAAACGTTTTTTTTTTTCTTGAATTCTTGAATAAATGCCTTATAACTGTGTAAACCTCGTAAATCGGCCGGTTTTCCGTAAAAAATTAAGCAATTTAACGAGGTTTAAGTGGATATGAGGCTTTTACGCGTTTAGATAAATTTATATTATATTAAACTGCCCTCTATCAAGAGGAAACAAATTTATTCACGTTTATCAATATCAATGAAGTTTCAGCAAACAATCCCAATTGAAACTAGCCATCTGGTATTGTCAACTTGTTTTCCAGCTAGTTGACGTTGCCAAGTAGAGATACTTGGTAAAAACCAGGTGGCTTTTCTAGCTGGTTTTGACTAAGTGTAGAAACCATTTGGAAAAACCAGGTGAATTTTCTTTTTGGGTTTTTTGACAGCGTTATATGTATATGAGTCGGTACATATCAAAACTGTATAAGTCTACAGATGAAATTTTTTCATATTATTGGTACAATACGCACTGACCGAATAAATAAATACATAGTTTAAACTAAAGAAATGTGGCTAATTAATGTCGGTAAGATTAAAAAAAACACATTTAATATTAACTATTTATTTAAAGGTGACTAAGTCCCACCATAAGTGTAAATCAAAATTAGTTAAATTCATTTCAGTCAAACATATTGCGGTCTGCTACTGCAGATTGTGACATATGATTCGATATATCGCTAGCTTAGAGTGAAATGTTGCTAAGTCCACTTTTTATGAACAATTAGTTTTTGATGCAGGAAGCAAGGAATATTGAAAATGCACCGTTTCTGAAAGGATCTAACTACTTGTTTTATTTCTACCTGTTTTATTCCGTGATGTGCAAAATTGCTAAGACCAAAGTAGTCACAGAAAATTTGATAAGTCCAAAAAATTATGAATATTTTTTTACGCTATCGAATTCAATTTGTACTGAGGGTTTTGCAACAACATTATTTTTGAATATTTATGTACATATGTATGTATGTATATTAGGCTGGGTCGATTTTGTATGAGGGAAAATAAAAGGCATTTGGCCGTATTGTAATAGTAATATTATGATGTCTTAGGTCTAAGCCAATTGTTATTGGCCAAGAAAGATTAATTTAAAATGATTTATTTTGGAACGAATTTCCGTCATCCCTTGTCAAGTCTTACCACCCTGTCGGAAAAATCAACCAACACCAACACATTAATTTAAAACTTATCTCTTGCCCGCGCAATTGATTAAAAGTGTATGAATTTTGAAAATGAAACTTTGGCTTGTAATATCTATGGAATGCGTTAATTGTTATAAACAGGACGATATATCAAATTAAGGGTTATTAAATTTAGTGCCTCACGTTCATTTATCATTTTTCAATAAGTCTAAAAATTTTTAAGATATTAAAATAAAAAATAAGATAACTATAATTTTCCCTTATGAATTTTCAATTCTTCATTACTTCAGCAACCAAGTGAAAAATACAAAAAAGTGAGACGAGATTTATTTCAAACGTTTTAATGCTTGCGGATGATTATATAATATTAAAATTACCATGGACTTGGTCACGCCGATTTGGTCAGTTTTCAAGATCGTGGTGAATGAAGTTAAACATGTATTGTCAAAGATTAGGAATCGTTTGATAAATTAATAGTAGTTGCAAGCATAAATATAAGTATTTGCATATATTAACATAATACAATTAGGGCCCATTTTAAGTCCATTTTTCGTGGTTTCTAAATTTGCCGTTATATGAAAGTAGGGGACGTGCAACAAGTGTTTACATAAATATTTTAGTTAATTCCATTATGTGAAAAAGTAACTGTAGGTAGGTAAATGCAATAGTCTTTAACATATCCTGGAAAATCCTTTTGAGGACTCTCCAATTGGACGATATTGCTTTGCATTCAGCTTGAACGAAAAAAGTCACTCCCTGGCATACTTTTCTGTAATCCGGTTCTTTCATTTAAAGGTTATTTATAAAATTGAAGATTTTTTTTTTAAGAAAAAAACTGGAGATCCACTTAAGTTTTTCGATATAACTTTGGTAAATGTTCCTCGATCGGCACGTAATAATTACCAAATTGAAGGCGAGACTTGCTACTAATGATTTATGATAATAATATGATGAAAATCATTCAGACTATAAACAAACTAGTAATAACCCCCCGAAATTCAGGTGAATGCATTAAATAAATACTTGCAGATACTAAGTATTTAAACTTAAATAAAAAATAAAACGTGATGTTCGTGAATATACCTCAGTATTTAGCTCAAAACTTATTTAAAGAGCTTCGCGAAAGACAACAATTAATGATGTATTATGGAACGAATTTCCGTCATCCCTTGCACCGGAGGGGATGACAGAAATTCGTTCCATAATACATCATACACCCACCCTGTCGGAAAGAACAACAACCAAAAAGGAAACAACAATTAATCTTGTATTGCTAGAGACCTGATAACCCAAGATAATTTTGAAGTTATTAATGGGCCTTACTCTACTCATAGCTTCGTACAGTGGCCCGCGAGAAAACAGTAATTTTTAAGGTATAGTCCAACCTTTCACAATATCCGACCAAGGGCTTTATTAGCCGTAGTCTGAGACGCAATAATCTTTTAAAATTGGCGCCGTTTCATGGTGAAAGGCATTTGGTATCACGCTTTTAAACTAAAGCTTTCTTAACACTTTCAGTACAAAAATTCTACCACTGATTCTACAAATTTTAAATTCATAAATATGTATACCGGCTAATTTGGATCATTGATTTCAAAAATCGCATCAAAAAATTTTTAGAATTTTGAATTTTACAGTCATCCTGGGCCCTTTAAATTTGTCAGTGATATCCTAGGTGTTTAAAAAAGAAAGTGATCTAAGCTATTTTTTTTTTGCTTTCGCGAAATAAATTTCGAAGCTATGAGTAACACGAATCCGAATCAAAATTCCACGGATATTTGGTAAATATTTTTCTATAGATTACACTGCTCACTATTAATTTTTCTGCCAATTTTACTTTTGTGACAAATACGGTAATCGCAATTGCAGCTTGCACTTTAATTTGATATACAACTCAATTCTGTAGCTACACCAGATCACCAGATTATATATAGATTATTTAAAAAAAAAAAAAATGGTTAAACAAAATTTTTTGTCATTTTCCTATATTTGCAATTTTTATATTGTATGCATAAACACAAGTAAACTAGTGTTTCTAGAAGTTGTGCCTGTTCAGTGAAGAGAAGCGGTCGCCCCTCGACAGGCAATGGCAAACCTCCGAGTGTATTTCTGCAAAGAAAAACAGTGTAAAACTGTAAGTCCCTTCCCATTATGTGACAACATCAAGGCGCACGCCACAAATCGGAGGAGAAGCTCGACCAAACACTAACATATGTGTAAGCCCCAATCTATTACACAAGGGAACAAAAATGGGAAACAATTTCGTTGCATCAAATGTTAAAGCTGTTTTGGATAGACTTTTTTATGCTGATTACGAGTAAGTATAAAGTCTCCATCAGCTCTAGATTTGGAAAAAAAACGAGGTCAAAGTGTCAAAAAATCGCGTTTTTTGGAATATTTTAGAAGCCATAGCAAAGAAACTAAAGGTGATATTAGACTTAAATTAAAGCTAGAAGTCTCGAGTACTATCTCTGAAAATACCATCACTACACGTTGAATTGATGGTCACTTACGAGAGCAATGTGTACCGCAAAATGTTTAGAATTTATTTGTATTAAAAGTCTCATACTTCGTTCTGTAATATCAAAAATGCCTCCAATCCTGCGAAAGAACGTGGGTATGTACAGACGTTGTTCTAAAAAACGATCGTTGGCCTCAAACGACCAAGAATACTGTTTAAAAATGACGTATCTGCATACAGCAGTGTAGATACGTTGTTTTTGATTAGTATTCAAGCTACAATTCCTGCTGAATTACTGGAAAAAGTGTAGATACTGCAATGTTTTTGCAGATACCCACGTTTTACATCAGTATTTATCGACATTTCGTAAATCCTGAAACTGTCTCGAAAAATCCGAAGGACCCCGACAACCTCGAAATAGTCCCGAGAATCACGAAGTACTACCGAAATAGTTCCGAAAATGACTATGGGGATACCTAAAGTCCCGAAAAACTGTAATTGCAAAGTCAAATATGTATGTATGTATATATGAAAGTAGTGTTTTATGAAAGCCTACCACTGGTATTATGGTATTTAATATTTTAAAATATCAGTCAAACCTTGCCTTAAAAATAAAAGGCAGAAATAATCGGCATATTGTGCTCAAAATAATAAAAGTAAACAAATAACTTATTTTTTTGCTTTTTATTATTAAATGCATAACCGGTACGGTGTCTGTTAATATAGATATTTCTCTACGAACTCGCTATTTTTTATAAATGTTTTTATTTCATGGTATACCCAATACGTTTACTTTAGACAGCCGGAAGTTTTAAATAAATCTGTAGACAAATTTCATAAATATATTGTATGTCAAAATTTATTCGATAGACTACACTTAAACTATCGAAACGTTTTCTACTCCTGGCCAGTTTACTAAGCTCTCATCCTCTGAT